GAACAGGAACAAGACAGGGATGCCCACTTTCACCACTCTTATTTAATATAGTACTGGAAGTCTTAGCCACAGCAATTAGGAAGAAAAAATAAAAGGGATCCAAACTGGAAAGGAGGAAGTGAAACTGTCATTATTTGCAGATGACATGATATTATACATAGAAAACCCTAAAGACTCCATCAAAAATCTACTAGACTTAATAAATGAAATTGGCAAAGTAGCAGGATACAAAATTAACGTCAAGAAATCGATGGTATTCTTAAACACTAATGATGAACTCACAGAAAGAGAAACTGAAAAAATAATCCCATTTACCATCGCTGCAAAAAAATTAAGATACCTAGGAAGAAACTTAACCAAAGAAGCAAAGGACGTATTTGCAGAAAACTACAGGTCATTGAAAAAAGAAATTGAGGAAGATATAAAAAAGTGGAAGCACATACCTTGGTCATGGATTGGAACAATTAACATCATTAAAATGTCCATGTTACCCAAAGCAATCTATAGATTCAATGCAATCCCCATCAAAATACCAACGACATACTTCACAGAACTAGAACAAATACTTCAGAAGTTCACATGGAACCAAAAAAGACCCCGAATAGCCACAGCAATCTTGAAAAAGAAGGACAAAGTAGGTGGGATCATAATACCAGGTATCAGGTTATACTACAAAGCGACTGTAATCAAAACAGCCTGGTACTTGCACAAGAACAGGCATAAAGACCAGTGGAACAGAATAGACAACCCAGAAATGGACCCAAGGCAATATGCTCATTTACTATTTGACAAAGGTGGCAAGAGCATACAGTGGAGTGAAGACAGCCTTTTTAATAAATGGTGTTGGGAAAATTGGACAGCCACATGCAAAAAAAAAAAAAAAGAAAGAAACCAGACCATCAACTTACACCATACACAAAAATAAACTCAAAATGGATAAAAGACTTAAATGTGACCCCATGAATCCATAAAAATCCTGGAAGAAAATGTAGGCAACAAAATTTCAGACATCATACGCAGCAAAATTTTCACTGATACATCACCTAAGGCAACAGAAACAAAGAAAAAAACAAACACATGGGACTACATCAAACTCAAAAGCTTCTGCACAGCAAAAGAAACAACCATCAAAATGGAAAGGCTACCCACTGTATGGGAGAGCATCATTGCCAATGATACATCAGATAAGGGGTTAATTTCCAAAATATGTAGAGTACTCATACAACTCAACAAAAGGAAGACAAAGAACCCAATTAAAAAATGGGCAGAGGGACCGCCCCACTCGGTCCTGCTGTGACCTGCACTATTCCTGGGAGTTGTAGGCAGGATTTAGGGAGACCCGGGAAACCCAGAAATGATTGCTGTGGACTTCCGGTCAAGATGGCGGGTAGGTAAACGCGGTATCGCGTCCTCCCACAACCACATCAAAGTTACAACTAAACTACAGAACAACCATCATTCAAAACCGCCTGAAATCAAGCTGAATGGAAGTCCTACAACCACGGAATTAAAGCAGCAGCCACATCCAGACTGGTAGGAGGGGCGGCGGCGCGACGGGCTGGTCCCACACCCACGTGTGGCGGATAAAAATCAGGAGGCTCCCGCGGCTGGGAAGGTCCTTCCTGAGGACTGAGGGGTCCCCGTCCTACACCAGGTGCCCCGTTCAGGGTTCCAGTGCCAGGAAGAGAAGTCCCCATAACTTCTGGCTGGAAAAACCAGCAGAAACTGAGGCTCAGGGAAACTGAAGCGGCTGGAGCCCCAGGCAGCTCCCTAAAGGGCCCGCGCACGGACTGGTCGGACTCTCTCCCTCTAAGCTCGGAGGGGAGGCAGCTCGAGGGGCGCCAGAGACATACAGGGAAGAACTGAGTTGTTTGGCACTGGAGCAAGGGCTGGAGAGGGGGCTTCCTCGGGGACAAACGTGCTGTAAGAGGCCTTTGTTCCTTTGGTGAGCCCTTCCCGGGGGTGGCAGACAGAAGCCATAACTGGGACTCCAGCAACCTGGCTCACACTGGTAGCCCCGCCCTGCTGACTCCCTGAGGCCCTGCCCCGCCCCACACAACTTTCAAGCCCACCCAAGCTGTTGCCACTTGCTTAACCATAGGATTGGCCGGTCTTGGATCCTGCTTCAGGTTTTCCTAAATTCTTTCAAACGAGCAGCATCGGGTCTCAGCTAGCCCCATACCTCCCATTAAGTAATACACAGAAACAAACACAGGGAGGCAGCCAAAATGAGGAGACAAAGAAACAGGTCCCAAATGAAAGAACAGAACAAAACCCCAATAAAAGAACTAAGCGAAAGGGAGATAAGCAACCTAACAGATACTGAGTTCAAAATACTGCTTATAAGGATGCTCAATGAACTTAGTGAGAACCTCAGTGAACTTAGGGAGGGCCTCAAGAGCATAAAAAAGGACCAGTTAGAAATCATGGATACACAGTTAGAATTGAAGGAGGCATTAACTGAAATAAAGAATAATTTACACAGCTTCAATAATAGAGTATGTAAATCCAAGGAGCAAACCATCGATTTGGAACATAAGGAAGCAAAAAATCCCCAATCAGAACAGCAAAAAGAAAAAAGAATAAAAAAAAATGAGGATAGTGTAAGGAGCCTCTGGGACAACTTCAAGCGTGCCAACATTCGCATCTTGGGGGTTCCCGAAGGAGAAGAGAGAGAACAAGAAATCGAAAACATGTTTGAAACAATAATGGTAGAAAACTTTCCTAACTTGGTGAAGGAAACAGACATACAAGTGCAGGAAGCACAGAGAGTCCCAAACAAGATGAACCCCAAGAGGCACACACCAAGACACATCATCATCAAAATGCAAAAGGTTCAAGACAAAGAGAGAATCTTAAAAGCAGCAAGACAAAGGCAGCTAGTTACCTACAAGGGAGTACCCATTAGGCTGTCAGCTGATTTCTCAAAAGAAACTTTGCAGGCCAGAAGGGAGTGGCAAGAAATATTCAGAGTGATGAAAAGCAAGAACCTACAACCAAGATTACTCTATCCTGCAAAGCTGTCATTTAGAATTGATGGACATATAAAAACTTTCCCAGACAAGAAAAAGTTAAAGGAGTTCATCACTACCAAACCGTTATTATATGAAATGATGAAGGGTCTTTTTGAAGAAAAAGATAAAATGTATGAACAAACAAAATGGCAATGAATACATATCTATCAACAATGGAATCTACAAACAAAATGAACAGGAAGAACAGAAACATTCTCATAGATACAGAGAACATTTTGTTGGTTGCCAGTTGGGAAGGGGGTTGGGGGAATGGGTGAAAAAGGTGAAGGGATTAAGAAGCACAAATTCATTGCTAGACTGACAAACCTCAAAGGGAAAGGGGTTTGGGGGGGTGGGAAGAAATAAACCAAAGAACTTATATGCATAACCAATGGACACAGACAATAGTGTGGGAAAAGGTGGGAGGGGGGGCGGGAGTCGGGAGGAGGGGGTCAATGGGGGAAAAATGTGGAACATCTGTAATACATTTTACATCCAACAATAAAGATTTGAAAAAAAAAAAAATGGGCAGAGGAGCTGAATAAATGCCTCTCCAAACAGGACATACAAATGGCCAGGCGACATATGAAGAAATGCTCCACATCACTAATCATCAGAGAGATGCAAATTAAAACAACAATGAGGTATCACCTCACACTTGTCAGAAAGGCTGCTATTAACAAATCATCAAACAACAAGTGTTGGCGAGGGTGTGGAGAAAAGGGGACTCTAGTACACTGCTGGTGGGAATGCAGACTGGTGCAGCCACTATGGAAAACACTATGGTATTTCCTCAAAAAATTAAAAATTGAACTTCCATTTGACCCAGTGATCCCACTTCTAGGAATATACCCTAAGAAGCCTGAAACACCAGTCAGAAAGAATATATGTACCCTCATGTTCATAGTAGCACTATTTACAATCACTAAGATCTGGAAACAGCTCAAGTGTTCATCAGTAGACAAATGGATAAAAAGACTGTGGTACATATACACAATAGAGTACTATGCAGCTGTAAGAAAAAAAGATCTCTTATCCTTTGAAATGACATGGAGGGACCTGGAAAGTATTAACCTAAGTGAAACAAGCCAAGCAGAAAAACACAAATACCACATGATCTCACTTATTTATGGAATATAATGAACATAACAGTCTGAGGAATAGGGTAGACCCAGAAACATGGAAGTAGGGTACAGACTGACAACCCTCAGAAGAGGGGGTGGTGGGGGAGGGAAGAAATAAATCACTGAACTTATATGAATGTATGCATAACCAACAGACATGGACAACAAAGATGGGGATGGGTCGGGGGGATGGGGAGGAGGGTGTCAATGGGGTAAAAAAGGAGAAACATCTGTAACAAAGATAAAATTAAAAAGAAAAAAAAAAGTAAAAAATAAAAATAGTCGCTTTTTCCCATCTTGCAAGATGGCGGGGGGAAAACCTGAGAAGCCGGATACTAAGGAGAAGAAACCTGATACGTACTAAGGAGAAGAAACCTGGAGCTCAGAAGGCTGATGCTGGTGGCAAGGTTAAGAAGGGTAACCTCAAGGCCAAGACGCCTAAGAAGGGGAAGCCCCACTGGAGCCGAAACCCTGTCCTAGTCAGAGGAATTGGCAGGTATTCCCCGTCGGCTATGTATTCCCAAAAGGCCATGTACAAGAGGAAGTATTCCGCAACTAAATCCAGGATTGAAAAGAAAAAGGAGCCCTGGCCGGTTTGGCTCAGCGGTTAGAGCGTCGGCCTGCGGTCCTGAGAGACCCGGGTTCAGTTCCTGCTAAGGGCACGTACCTCGGTTGCAGTTTGTCCCTGGCCCTGGTCGGTTGTGCGGGTGGCAGCCACTCGATGTGTTCCTTTCACATCGATGTTTCTCTCTCTCTGTTCCTCTCTCTCCCTCCCACTCTACCTGAACAAAAAATGGAAAAATGTCCTCTGGTGAGGATTAAAAAAAAAAAAAGAAAAGAAAAAGGAGAAAGTTCTTGCTACTGTCACAAAACCAGTTGGTGGCAACAAGAATGGTGGTACCCGAGTGGTTAAACTTCGCAAAATGCCTAGATATTATCCTACTGAAGATGTGCCTCGGAAGCTGCTGAGCCATGGCAAGAAACCATTCAGTCAGCACGTGAGAAAATTGCGGACCAGCATCACTCCCGGGACCATTCTGATCGTCCTCACTGGGCACCACAGAGGCAAGAGGGTGATTTTCCTGAAGCAGCTGAGCAGTGGCTTGCTACTTGTGACTGGACCTCTGTCCCTTAATCGAGTTCCTCTTCGTAGAACACATCAGAAATTTGTCATTGCCACCTCCACCAAAATTGATATCAGTGGTGTGAAAATCCCCAAACATCTCACCGATGCTTACTTTAAGAAGAAGAAGCTACGCAAGCCCAGGCACCAGGAGGGTGAGATCTTCGACACAGAGAAAGAGAAATACGAGATTACAGAGCAGCGCAAGGTTGACCAGAAAGCTGTGGACTCGCAAATTCTGCCAAAAATCAAAGCTGTTCCTCAGCTGCAGGGCTACCTACACTCTGTGTTTGCTCTCACAAATGGGCTTTATCCTCACAAAATGGTGTTCTAAATTTCTTACAAAGAACCTAATTAAATAACTGATCTATTGTTAAAAAAATAAATAAATAAATAAAAATAGTCAAATATAACTTATAGGGGGAAAATGAACTTGGAGGAATCCCAGAAGATGTAAGGAACATGGCCAGGTTGTGAGCTGATCCTTAGTCGGGGGCATGCAGGAGGCGGCCAATCTATGTTCTCTCTCATCAATGTTTCTATCTCTCTCTCTCCCTCTCCATTCCTCTCTCTAAAATCAATAAAGAAAAATAAATAAATAAATAAAAAGAAAATTGATGGTAATTACTACAAGAAAATAAAGAAAAAAATTAGAAACAGCAGCGAAAAAAGAACTGGACAAGAAAGTTATGATCAAAAGAAGAAGCCGCCCTGGCCAGTTTGGCTCAGCGGTTAGAGCCTCAGCTCGAGGACCAAAGGGTCTCAGGTTAAATTCCTAGCCAAGGGCACATACCTGGGTTGCAGGTTTGATCCTCATATGGGAGGCAGCCATGGTCTCTCTCTCTCACTTTCTCTCTCTCTCCTTCCCTTCCACTCTACCAAAAGATCAATGGAAAAGTATCATCTGATGAGGATTAACAACAACAACAAAAAATAGTGCAGCTTTGGTTCTGAAAGAGACAAATGATCAATGAAACTGAGTAGAATCCTGAAGAGACCCAGACCCAGTCCAGGCAGATTCCCCTTCTGCCTTGTTAGTAGAGCCCTGGTTATATTTTGGCTCCCACTATTTTCTTGTGTGATTTAGGAAGAAATCCTGCTGTGGTGAACTGTGGTGACTGGTGACCTAGTTCTGGCCAATGAGAAGTTGTGACAAATCCTCCAGGGGCTTCTGGGAAGCCTCAGCCCTTCTGCTTCTCCTGGACAGGGTTGGGTCTGAAGTTGATGTTCGAAATAGTGGCAGTAGCTCAATTAGGCATTGGGGTCTCTTTATGAGAACTTTCTCTTTGGTTAAGCGTTTTCCTGCCATAACTATTTTTTCTGTTGCCTTGATCACAAGTTGCTTGTGACCCTGGGTGGGGGTAGGGCTTAAGGCCACTTCAATGAGGTCTTGGGAGATTAGATACTTCATCAGTTTTTGTTTTTATTTCCCAAATTGAAGTTTTAACTTTGAGTTTTTTCCTTTCTTAGGTTGGCTACTGTTTTATCTTCTTGTCTTGGTTTGGGGTTCTCAAAGAACCCATTTCGGAATTGATTATTCATTCTCTGGTTTCTCTGTGTTCCAACCAGTTACTTTCTGTTCTCATTATTCCTGTTTTCTAAATGTTCTGAATTTTTCTTTGACTTTTTCTTAGCACAGATTTTTTAAAGGGAATTTTGAATTCTAAACGTAAGCTTTTGTTTTCTTTTCCATTTTTGTTGTTAACATTCTAATCCAAGAAATTTCTGAAATTTCTTGAGGACCCTTTCCTGCTTAATATATGGTCAGTGATTCATTCATCACTCGCCTCTGCCATGATGCCCAGCATGGGATGTTTCTTATTGTGATCTCAAAATGGCTCTTTTATCCATTAGGATCTGCCCAGGAAAACAGAAAGCACTTCAACTAAGGGCACTGAATGCCAGGAAAGGAGCACCTAGGACTACTGAGAGGTTGATGGGGGGTGGTGAGGCAGCTTGGGGATCATAAGCAGGAAGTCACTGCCATCCTTAGGCTGGAGAGACACAGGAAGAAGACCTAGAATCATGGAGGGCCTCTCAGTGGGAGCTGCAGCTGCTGTCTGTGGAGCAGGGAGGGAGAGAGGCAATACTCTGGCTATTCCCCTCCTCCACCCTCTGTCTCTTGCATCTGCCTCTCACTGTCAATCCCAGCCTGAAACCAGCTGAGCCAGAGCCTGGGAAAGGCAGGTAGCAAGGCCCCATCCTGAGGGTAAGGGAAAGGTGAGGAATAGGTCTGAGGACAAACAGGTCTGGAGCAGGCCCATCAGTGAACTCTCTACTTTAAAAGACTAGGAAATTATCAGGCTCATTCTCCTTGCCACTTCCCCTCCTTCCCTGCCCTCTGCTCCTCCAAACTTTTGTTTATATGATTACTTTGAGAACTTCTAGTGGTTTTATTTAATCTTTTAAATAATATATTTAAGACTTTATTACTTGATTGATCAACATTAGACAATATCTATCGGTAAGAGCATTTTTATTTAAAGATAAGGAAATTATTCCACTTGAACTTTCTTCCACTCTTTCTCCCTCCACCACTGATTTCATTCTCTGAATTATTATTTCTGTATCCTCACAGTTCCAGACATGTATATTCCATTTTGGAAATGTTCCACAGATGCTTGGCTTTCTTACAGTTCTCCATGTCCATGGATTTAATGCTCACCATCATTATTCAGAACCCAGAACCCTGTGTCTGGGTTCATTCCTTTTTTTTTTTTTTTTTATCCTCACCCGAGGACATTTTTCCATTTTTTGTTCAGGTAGAGTGGGAGGAAGAGAGAGAGAGAAACATCGACGCGAAAGGGACACATCGAGTGGCTGCTACCCGCATGACTAACCAGGACTGGGGACAAACCGCAACTGCGGTACGTGCCCTTAGCGGGAACCGAACCCGGGTCTCTCTGGGCCGCAGGCCGACGCTCTAACTGCTGAGCCAAACTGTCCAGGGCTGGGTTCATTCTTTAAAATGTCGTTGCTCAGTGTACCTGGGATTACTAGACTTTGTCATCAAGCATTTTGGCATAGGTTTCAGAATGTTTCCTTTCAGATAATCATTCATTTCCAAAATGGGATGATTCCACCTGAACCAGTTACTGAAGACAACCCTGAGCCTACCTATACCCCGAGGGTCCGCTACTCCAAGCCAAGGCTCACTCACTTGTCCCTTAGATGTACCAGGTAATTTGAACATCTTGTGCACTGGCTGAACTCTTCTGAGACATGTCTGCTCTCAGCAGTCTCCTTCCTAAATTCATGGAAAAAACAGTATTAGTGTCTGGCAAAGGAGAATTAAAAGAATATTAAATGGTACCCCCAAAGTATCATTTTATGTCAATAAGGAGAGCACTTTACAATAAAGAAGTCACTGTAATGAATCTTAATGAACTGAGCAGTATTTCGTTGAAGCAGAGAAAGCATAATTTGCTAGAAATATGTGAAGAAGAAATGGGTAAAAATTTAACAGTCTTATTCTTGGGTCAAAACAAAGAGAAGGATATAAGTTGGTGTTTTGTGTTCTTTTATGGGATGACCAATCAGGTGCAGCCACAAGAGGAGACAGAGCACAGGCTCCAGAAAAGAAAGTTTATTACACTCATGGGTCCTAGAGACAGGAGGTACACCATACAGGTCCACACAGGGAAGCTCCAGGATGATCAGGAGGTCCTCACCTCCTGACAAGGAGAAGGGTTAGGTCAGAGCCTTTATTGGAGTTTCCATGGAGAAAGCGTGCAGGACAGGACTAACAGTTTAGGATCCGCTAGTTTGAATAGTCTCGACAGTCTTTGGGCTATAGGGGTGTCTCTAGTGGCATGACACCTGGCAGTGGGATGATTAAGGCTGAAGAATATTGCAGGGACCCGCTAGAGGAGGTGTGACACTGGATTGGTCAGTTTGCATAACAAAGACATGCCCCTGGGCTGTCCCTTTGCTGTTTGCTATCTTGGAGAATTGGCTAGCCCTGGGAAGGGCAACCTCACCCCAGCCAGAAAGGTATTTTTAGGATGTCAAAACATCATCATATACAGAAAACGTAAAAATATTTACAATACAGTTGGCTAAAACTGTAATCCATGACATTGATTTTCTAACTAAGTATCCAACTGTGTACACTACAGAGAATACGTTTTTTAGTTCCAATGAGAAATTTACAAAAAGTGCTAATAGATTACACTGCAAAGGAAATTAGAATCAATCAAATTGCTCAAGTGACCCAGGTTCAGTGAAGCCCTCCCTATTCACTGCACCTAAAATAGCAGCTGACACTGCTGCACTGTGCCACTCTATACCTTGGCTCTGCCTCTCTTCTGGGCACCTTTCTTCAATGTTACAGATTCTAGGGGTGTTAGCTTTTGTCTCCTCCGCTGAAAGGGCTGCACCTTGCCCTCTGCTCTATCCAGTGCTTGAAAAATACTTGGCCTGGTGTCAGCACTCAAATGCCAGTTGATCTAATGAATAAATTTCCCAAACACGCTTATACCTCTATTGCCTTTGTTATCAGTGTCAAGAAGGAAATAGTGTCTTTGTCAGATTTCTTCACAGTTCTAGCTCAAGTCTAGAATGACATGCAGTAGGAGGGTTGCAAGTTTAAACAGGGTGACAGGGCTCAGTGGATTGAGCATCGCCCCATGTACCAAGAGGTCGTGGGTTCAATTCCCAGTCAGGGCACATGCCTGGGTTGTGGGCTCGATCCCCACTAAGAGATGTGAAAAAGGCAGCCAATCAGTGTTCTCTCATTGATGTTTCTATCTCTCTCTCCCTCTCCCTTCCTCTAAAAAAAAAAATCAATAAAAAATCTTTTTAGCCCTGGCCGGTTTGGCTCAGCAGTTAGAGCGTCGGCCTGTGGTCCGGAGAGACCCGGGTTCAGTTCCCGCTAAGGGCACGTACTTCGGTTGCAGTTTGTCCCCGGCCCTGGTTGGTCGTGCGGGTGGCAGCCACTCGATGTGTCTCTTCACATCGATGTTTCTCTCTCTCTCTCTCTCTCCCTCCCACTCTATCTGTACAAAAAATGGAAAAATATCCTCGGGTGAGGATTAAAAAAAAAAAATCTTTTTATTGACTTTTTTAGAGACAAAGGAAGGAAGAGAGAGATAGAAACATCGATGTGAGAGAGACACCGATCGGCTGCTTCCTGCACCATCCCCCCAGGGATCAAGCCCAAAACCTGAGTATGTGGCCTGACCAGGAATCGAACCAGGACCTCTCAGTCCATGGGACGACACTCAATTCACTGAGCCACACTGGCTGGGCAATAAAATATATTTTATGTGTTTATTTATTTGTTTCTCTATTATTCCTCACCTGAGTATATTTTTTTTACTTATTTTTTTTTTTTATCCTCACCCGAGGATATTTTTCCATTTTTTG